ATCCTCCACTGCACTCCCAGGACACAGCGGAGAGTTGGATTGGAAGAGAAACAACTGGGACAGAATCCAGTGCCCGGACTGGGACTAGAACCCGGTGTGCTGGCGCCGCAGGCGGAGGATTAGCCTATTGAGCTGTGGCGCCGGCCACAAAACAAATATTAATAGAAATTAAGGGAGACGTAAACTCCAATACAAGAAAAAATGGAGGACTTTAACACCCACTGTTATGAATGAGCAGATCAACCAAACAAAAATGTCAACAAAGAAACAGAGCTAATATAAACTATTGATGAATGGGCTTAATTCATATTTGCAGAAAATTTCATCTAACAACTGCAGAATCATATTCCTTTAAAAGAAATCATTAATAGGTATTCATTCCAGCCTTTACTCTTCAGACCTGTTACACCAACATGTGAATCCAGGATAAGACAAGAATGTGAACTTTAACATGTAAGGTAACTTTACTTAATTTTATCTTATGTTTATCTAAAATTTCAAACAAATTTCCAAAGTAGCTGAAGTTTGTCAATTAAATACTGATTATATTCTAATATTGAAGCCAATTATTGACTTACTAACAATATTTACATAAAGGAAAAATGAAAAACCAAAAAGCAATTTAATGAACAGGAAGTCTTATAAAATCATAGAAGTAGACACAAAGAAATATTTTTTTTAAATGGAAGTCCTGTCTAGTCTTCTGCTATGTTTAGCTGAAACTTCATTAAAAAAGCAATTAACTTGTAGAAAAAGATTAACTTTATTAGTATAGGCAAGTCAAATTTAAGCACATTATCTTGAATTAATATCAAAATTAGATCTCTGAGGCTTTATTTTTTTTGAGACTTTATATAATTATTCCAAACCTATACACAGGTGATTTTGGAAAAGTGATGGGACAAAATGCTTATTATTTTTGATTGAAGAAAATTGTTATAGAATAAAAGAGGCAAAAGTTAAACCTTCATGTGAAATGATCTCAAGGGATAGTCTTACTTCATGATCCCATTTGAAATACCTTTTTCAGGAAGCAAGACAGACTATATTTACTTAAATGTTGATGACCAACACAGCAAAATAACTTTGAACACTTATGAAATCTTATTTCTGTGGTATCTCAACATCCATAGGTCTACATATGTTGCTAAGGTCATTCAACTATTTCAAGAGACTTGCAAGTTACTTACTTTATCTCCTTTTGCTTTTCCATAATGTGTTTTCTTATTTGTTTGTTTTATTTCATGTACAAACTTTGGACAATTTCCTAGGCACAATGTTTTAGGATGTACATATTTTGAAAATAAAATTTTTAAAAATTTACAATGTTAATATTAGGAAGAAGATATTTCATTAATATTAAAATTATTAATTATATAAAGTCACCTCTCTTTCAATATCTTCCTCCAATCCTCCTAAGCAAATTATTTATTATATATTTATCATATTGACAACAATCCTAGAGAGTGAAAAATCAAATGATTAGAGATTCTAAAGATATATCCTTAACTAATTAACACCACCAAAACAGCAACATTTAATTGGACAATTTTCTGTGAGTCAAGAAAAACCTGACTTTTCAACATCACTTTTCACTGACATAATAGAGAATTTATTATATTACTGATACCTATCAGCATGTTTTTCTTTTAATAATTACATTAAAACCTCAGATATTTGTGAATCCAGTTCACTAGAATGGCTTGGGCTTCTCAATTGATGCATGAAGGGAAATAGCTAGCAAGGAAGAACTGAGCCTCTCACTGCCTCCTTCCTGTGCTGTAACCCACTGCACCACCCAAACCTACACCATACCATGTAGTTTTCAGAAAACGAAAGCCCAGTTTCATTACACCACTTACAGCCAGCACTGGCTAAAAGTAATCAACATGTCTGACTATTATCACTGACATACCAACTCCCATCATGCACTTGACACCATGGCATGCCAGAATCTTCCCAAACAAGGGCAAGGCAAAGGCAGTCTCAAGCCCTGCCCCAAAAGCTGCCCTTTTTCAATATTCAATTAAACTCCAACCAGACACCACCCACTGTGCCTCCAGTTCCTTGGGGTGACACTGATCCTCCTGAAGTACACTCTATCTTGAGCAACCTGCATTCTTTCTGCATGTGTACTTTCACTTTGCATGTAAATAAATTTTGCTACAATGCTGAACTTTACATACATCTCATCCTCAATTCTATCCTTAAAGCTGAGACAAAAACCTGGGCCAGGCAGCCCACAACAGAAATACTAAAATTCAGGCAAAGATAATTCCCTTTCTTTCAGAGACTGTTTTTTTTTTTTTCCCACAGATTTGCATTCTTTGCTCTATCTCCATCAACATCTGGGAATGAAGTACAATCTTTGAGCTTCTAGCACAGAGCAGAAGGAATGGCTTATTATGGCTACAGCATCTGGGCCAACCAAACTGAGGCACTCGAGTGGAGCCAGAAATTGTAGATGGAAGGTACTAGTGGCCTCAAATCATAACTATTTTATGAGCTCCCTTTAATCAAAAACAAAGAAACGACTGAAACAAGAATTTTGACCAAAAACAAGCAATAAAGCCATCCCTACCAATATCAGCAGCAGGAAGAAAGGAAGAAAGGAAGAGAGGAAGAGAGGGAGAGAGAGAGAGAGAGAGAGAGAGAGAGAGAAAGAGAGAGAGCGAGAGACAGAGAAAGAGAGAGAGCAAGAGACAGAGAGAGAGAGAGAAAGAGAGAGAGAGAGAGAGAAAGAGGGAGAGAAAGAGAGAGAGAGAGAAAGAGAGAGAGAGAGAGAGAAAGAGAAAGAGAGAGAGAGAGAGAGAGAGAAGGAGAGAGCATTTTGTCCCATCACTTTTCCAAAATCACCTAGTGGCACTAGGTGAGATTGCATTGGTACATGCCATCTTGATGGGATTGAATTGGAATCTCCAGGCACGTTTCTAACTCTACCATTTGGGGCAAGTCAGCTTGAGCTTGTCGCAAATTGCACATCTTCTCCCTCTCTTATTCCCATTCTTATATTTAACAGAGATCACTTTTCAGTTAAATTTAAACACCTAAGAATAATTGTGTGTTAATTACAGAGTTCAATCAATAGTATTATGTAGAACAAAAAAATACTAAAGGAATAAAGTATTAAGTTGTACATCAACAGTCAGGACAAGAGCTGATCAAGTCACTGTTTCTCATAGTGTCCATTTCACTTCAACAGGTTTCCTTTTTAGTGCTTGGTCAGTTGTTACTTGCAATAGAGAAAGATGGAATGACATATGTAGCAAGCACAATATTTTAATTTGCCTCCTATACTTCTTTCAATACTCACTAAGTATTGGGTATAGAGGAAGCATTCAATAAATATTGAGATTTGCTTGGTCTTAAGTAATAGTCACTAAATATTTGGGGCTTTGGGAGATTAAAATATAACTAACACAAACTGATATATGCTGTAAGTTTAAAATGAACAGAAGATTTCAAAATCTCAATATTGAAAGAAGTAAATTATAGATATATTTCTATATTAATCACATATAAATAAGCATATTGTTAAAACTATTTTCAACTGCTCCTTTTTACTTAATTTATATTCTAGAAGGTTTTTTTTATTTATTTGACAGGTAGAGTTAGACAGTGAGAGAGAAACAGAGAGAAAGGTCTTCCTTCCGTTGGTTTACCCCCCAAGTGGCCGCTACAGCTGGAGCTACGCCGATCTGAAGCCAGGAGCCAGGTACTTCTGGTCTCCCATGCTTGTGCAGGTGCACAAGCACTTGGGCCATCCTCCACTGCCTTCCCAGGCCACAGCCAGGAGTTGGATTGGAAGAGGAGCAACCAGGACTAGAACCCGGTGCCCATATGGGATGCCGGCGCTGCAGGTGGAGGATTAGCCAAGTGAGCCATGGCGCCAGCTCCTATATTCTAGAAGTTTAAAATTATATTCACAACTCACCTAACACCTGAATTGGGCAGCACTGATTTAGAATTATTTTTTTCCTTCAATTTTGAGACATGAAAATAAAAATTACTGTCTATATGAATTTTAGGTACTTTTAGGAAAATTTACATTGGTATCCTTTATACTTAGAATTCATATATGAATCTGTACGTTGGAATTTAGAAAGTGCTTTTTGAGGGCTATGTCTTCTCATGTTATATGATAGTAAATTCTTTCCAACTATGTCACTTTTTAAAAAATATTTAAGTTAAACAAAGTTCATGCATTTCACATATACAGATTTAGGAACATAGTGATACTGTCCACCCTACCCTCCCTCCCACTCACGTTTGACACTTCCTTTCTTATTCCCTCTGTCAATTTTTACAATGATCTACTTTCAGTTCTCATAAGATTATACACATAAGATTACTCTACACTAAGTAAATAGCTCAACAAATACTAAGAAAAAATACACTCTTTCTCAACAATAGAGACAAAAGTTGTAAACAATCATCAAATCTCAAAATGTCAATTTCATCCCTGTACATTACATTTTTGATACTCTATTAGTTACCATAAATCAGGGAAAACACATGGTATTTATCTTTTTGGATCTGGCTTATTTCACTAAGTATAATGATTTCAAGTATGGCACTCTCCTCTGATGAAAAATTGTAACTATTGATGAACACTGTAAAACATCAATAAGTAAAATATTATTATTCCATTACAAATGTTTGATAGTAAATTTTTCATGAATTAACATTTTAGGCAGAAACATGGTTATTTTGTTTCATTTGACAAAACATCATCACATGTTTTTAAAATTTATTTGAATGCAACACAAATTTGTCTTCAGTCTTGAGAAAATATATTTCTGTCACAAGTTATCATTTCAAATTATAGATTTTTTAAAAAATTCAACAAAATAATAAACATTAGCAAATTCATGTAAGAATATTTATTTCTTGTAGAAAGACTCAGTCTCTGAATGTGTCCAAAATTTAAAAAAATATGAATTTCAACTTGAAAAGAACTCTGTGTGCCAAAGAAATTTATCAATATGAACTGTACTTACTTGATCCTCTTGCAGGTTTTTCGGCTAAAAAATAAAATAAAATGCTATTTAACATTGATAAATGATATCTTTATATCAACAGAGTATGTTAAAGTACCTAATACCTTTTAAACTTCTTATTGATTTAGCATTATTAAAGAAATATAGCTCTCTAATGTCTGTGAACAAAATTAATTGGATATCAGTTAATATCTTCTACATTAGAAAGTATGTGAATTATCAAAAAAGCATTTAATCATTTCAACTATCATAACATATTTATATATACTCTTGAACAATTTCATTGAAGTCAGCAGGATTTTTGTAAAATTTACTGTTTTAGCTCAAGTATAATTATATATAATTTGAACAAAATTACTTTATATGATGTGATTTGCTGCTGAAATTCCTTAAGAATATTATTAAGAATTATTTTCCTTTTAAAAGGAATGAAAACAAATACTACCCATTAAACTATAAAATAATAAATCTTGAGATAAAATATAAAATAATAAATCTTAAGAGATAGCATGCAAAATCGATTTTTCACAACATTTATCAGTTTCAAGAGATTACTAGCCTCCAGGGAAATATATTTTCATAAAAATGAATGTATGTAAGAATAAAGTTACAGAACAAATAAAATAATATGGTAAAATATTTCACTAAGACTAACATGTTATTATTTAGGAACTCAGAAAGCAATAAAATATTTACTAAGATAAAATTAACTACTTGTTAACTGAAGGGATGTATATGAAGGTGTATGCATTCAACCAGCTCAGGATTGGAATTACTATATAACAGTATTTTAGTGTAGATTCAAAATACAATGTGTGTTTTTTTTTTTTTTTTTTTTTGACAGGCAGAGTTAGTGAGAGAGAGAGACAGAGAGAAAGGTCTCCTTCCATTGGTTCACCCCCCCAAATGGCCACTATGGCTGGCGCGCTGTGCCGATCTGAAGCCAGGAGCCAGGTGCTTCCTCCCTATCTCCCATGCAGGTGACGGGCCTAAGCACTTGGGCCATCCTCCACTGCCTTCCGGGGCCATAGCAGAGAGCTGGAATGGAAGCGGAGCAGCCACGACAGAATCCGGCACTCCAACTGGGACTAGAACACAGGATGCCGGCGCCCCAGGCGGAGGATTAGCCAAGTGAGCTGTGGCGCCAGCACGAAGATCTTAAAAATGATAAATTCACAGAAAAATGTTAACAACAGAGTATCCAATATCTGAATCACTTGTACAGTGAAATACACAGCAATGATAAACCACTCCTTTTGGGGCCCAAGAAGAGTGTTTTAAACTTCTCTCATTGGTAGAAAGTGTTCCTTAATATTTGCAGTAGGATTATAGAATAGAGAATGTGCTTGAAAAGGCTTAGCCATTATAAGTTTCGGACTCATACTGACTTGGAACCAAATCCTATCTCAACCATAAAAGCACTGTGAGACGATAGACTTCTGTTCTTTGCACTTATTTTCAAACCAGGCATGATAACTGAAAAGCACTAAGGATTAAATGGGCTGATAACAAGAAAGAATGAAAAAATCATAGTGATTTTTCTTATTTATTTACTCATCCTTCTGATTAGTTTTCTCAAATGATATCAAGCAATATTTTGAAACACATATCCATTTTTAAAATGTGTTCATATATCACTACACAGATGTGATTTTCTGTCTTAGAAAATTTAATCAGTTAAATTATATAATTTAACGTTATGTCTAAGTTTCTAAAAATTATATGGCTGCACTGTAAGTAGAGATGTGTCTTGCCATTTTAACCATTCATACTACAATAAGCAGCAAGAGGAGCAGTTAAAACAAGGTTTTCTCCTCTCCAGCTGGATATATATCTATGCACTTTCTATGATTGAAGATACCCATAGTTTTCTTGGTTATGGTGCATTTATATAGCATCTTAGACTTTAGAGTACATTTTTAATTAATTGAGTTTGCCTAAATTATGATTTAGACTACATAACAGTTATAAATTTCATTCCTAGTTTTCAGACAACAATAGCACTAAATAGATGATCCTTTTACAAAAAGAACATCTATCTGTCATGGGCATTCTGACATTTGTCCACTTTGTGTCTAGGTTGAATTAATATAAAAGGCCAATTCATAAATCATAAAATATATGCATGAAACTGTATTTTCTTTAGTCATAGATAAAATAAATGTCAGTTGTGTCTGGTTTTACTACTGCAGGGATATAATTTTTGACATTGATTATACTACAAAAGTCTTTTCTAATAGAGAACACTTTTGATGTGTAGTAGAATATTTTATTGAATGTATATGCTGTTAATAGTTCCAATTTTGGGGCCGGTGCTGTGGTGTAGTAAGCTAAACCTCTTCCTGTTGGGCCAGCATCCCACATGGATGCCAGTTTGAGTACCGGCTGCTCCCCTTTGATCCAGCTCTTTACTGATGGCCTGGGAAAGCAGTGGTAGATGGCCTAAGTGCTTTGTACTCTGCACTGCATGGGAGACCAAGAAGAAGCTTCTGGCTCCTGGCTTTGGATCAGCCCAACTCCAGCTGTTGTGGCCATTTGGGGACTGAACCAGCGATGGAAGACGTTTCTTTCTGTCTCTCCCTCTCTTACTGTAACTCTGCCTCACAAATAAATAAATAAATAATTTAAAACATAGTTTCAATTTCTTCACATTTTCTAATTTTCCCTTGAAGTACCAGCTTTCTGCTAAAGTTCCCACTGTCCACTTCCTCTGCCTTTTATCTGCTAGGCTTATTTGCTTTAAAAAGATTAGTGTTCATTTCACTTCAACAAGTTTTCCAAATTCCTCCATCTTGTTGCAAATGACTGGGCACTATGAGAAACAGTGACTTGATCAGCTCTTGTCCTGACGGTCGATGTACAATGTAATACTTTATCCATTTTAGTATTTTTTTTTTGTTCTAGTACCATTGGTTGAACTCTGTAATTAACACACAATTATTCTTAGGTGTTTAAATTTTAACTGAAAAGTGATCCCTGTGAGGAATTTGGAAAACATTATGTTGAGTGAAATAAGCCAATCCCAAAGGGACAAATACCACTTGTTCTCCCTGATAGGTGACAACTAACTGAGCACCAAAAAGAAAAACCTGTTAAAGTGAAATGAACACCATGAGAAATGGTGACTTGATCAGCCCTCACCCTGACTGTTGATGAGTAGCTTAATATGTTATCCCTCTTAGTATTTTTGTTTGTTTGTTCTACTTAATACTTTTGGTTGAATACTGTAATCAATACACAATTCTTCTTAAGTGCTGAAACTTAACTGAAAAGTGATCACTGTTAAATATAAGAGTGCGAATAAGAGAGGGAAGAGATGTGCAATCTGGGACATGCTCAAGCTGACTTACCTCAAACAGTAGAGTTAGAAACATACCAGGGGATTCGAATTCAATCCCATCGAGGTGGCATGTACCAATGCCATCTCACTAGTCCCAGTGATCAATTTCTGTTCACAATTGATCATAATGATAGGACTAAGAACCAAAGGGATCACATAAACAAGAATAGTGTCTGCAAATACTAGCTATAGAATCAAAAAGGGAGAGAACGATCCAACATGGGAAGTGAGATACACAGCAGACCCATAGAATGGCAAATGTCCTAACAGCACTCTGGCCTCATAATCAGCCCTTAAGGCATGCGGATCCGGCTGAAATGCCCATGAGAGTATTTCAGGCATGGAAAGCCAAGACACTCTGGGGGAAAAAAAACCTAAATGAAAGATCTCTGCGAGTGAGATCCCAGTGGAAAGAACGGGTCATCAAAGAAGGAGGTACCTTTCTCTGAAGGGAGGAGAGAACTTCCACTTTGACCATGGCCTTGTCTAAAAATGATCAGAGTCAGTGAACTCAGGGGGCTTCCATAGCCTTGGCAACTCATGACAAGAGCCTAGGGTGATTACTGATGCCATAAACAAGAGTGTCAATTTGTTAAGTAAACAGCAGGAGTCACTGTGCACTTACTCCTCATGTAGGATCTTTGTCCTTAGTGTGCTGTACATTGAGATTTAATGCTATAACTAGTACTCAAACAGTATTTTTCACTTTATGTTTCTGTGTGGGAGCAAACTGTTGAAATCTTTACTTAATGTATGCTAAACTGATCTTCTGTATATAAAGAGAATCGAAAATGAATCCTCATGTGAATGGAAGGGGAGAGGGAGTGGATAAGGGGAGGGTTGCGGGTTGGAGGGACGTTATGGGGGGAAAGCCATTGTAATCCATATTCTGTACTTTGGAAATTTATATTCATTAAATAAAAGTTAAAAAAAAAGATTAGTGTTAATTTTAATATATTAAGGACCAACATAGTTCACAGAATTCCACTGGGATAGCATTGACTATTTACGGAAATTAAGATTACCTTTTGTCACATTTTGCAGTTGATGACTCTCTCTTCTTGCTGGAACTGTTTATAAGAAAAGCATTTATTAAAATGTGATTTTTTTAAGTAAATTTTCATGAAAACTCTGCCTCATTTTCATTCCAAACTTTAGGAACTCGGGTATAATTTATGAATTATAAATATTCTTCCAGATGATTTTCAAAAAAATCTGTCTTTGTCCAAATAATACATAGAGAAAGTAAGTATCATCAGTAAAGATTGTTTTGCATACATAAACAGATAAAAGATGAGTAGAATGAATGAATGCATTAAAATATATTGAAAAACAAGACATTCTGATTAATTGAATTCCAAATAAGCACAAAGGTCTTACTTTCTTGTTGACAATCATTCTGTTACATTTAAGAACATGTCTCTCTGATTCAACAGAATGCTAGTTAAGGCTTTACAAGACTTCCATTTAATTATACTGACATGAATAATTACTGTATTATATTGATAAATGAACCTGATTGGTAGAAGTGGGTTTGGAGGCAGCATTGTATAGTTTCTAACTTTTTGCTCCTCCAAGGCAAACAAAATAGACTTATTTGCATGACTGGCCGGCCCTCACTGCTTCCTGACACCAGCATTCCCAAACATTCATCATTGTTTTAATCACGTTTAATAAATAAGCTTTTTATTTATAAAACATGTAAATAACTTTTGACTTAAAATATTTTTGGATTTGGGGATTTGTATTGTGTTACATTCTTTTAAAATTACCTTTCCCATTTAATATATATCACATTCTTTAATACATTGTGCTAAGATTTGAAATTAAAATCCTTAGTTAATACTTACAATTCAATAGTCATAGGAAAAGAATTCTGTGGTCTTGATTTAGAAATAGCAGGTAGAGTTTTCTAGGCTGTACATTCTTACTCCCATTAGATATTGGATAATAATGTGATGCCTACACCTTTTACATGGAGGAACTTCAATGAATTGTAAATCTAATGCATTCTGTAAAACCAGTATCCACTTTTTCATGAATTCATTTTAGTTCATATAATTAATATAATATATTTTACTCCTTTGTTTCTATGGCTAATTTGATGTGCATGTCTTAAAAATGTCATCTTTACCTTTAATTTCTTTTTCAGATTTTTCAATTTTCTTCTTTCCTATGGGAAAAAGAATAAGAAAATTGAAAAATTTTAGGAAACCTTATTTTCTTGCTTAATCTTAGAGTGCACAGTTGGGAATAATGCTTAATGTCATGATTGGAAATGAGTTCTGGGTTCCACCACTTGAAGATGTGGAGGAGGCGTCTCCCTATCATGAGTACATGCTCTCTACGCTGTGCTCATCCTGCTTATCTTCAGTCACCTGTGCAGCAGAACTTGCTCCCTCTTTCTTACATAATTTGAAGTGAAGCTAGAATAAGCCATGTGTTTATTAATAAGTTTACATTCGAAACAACATAAAAAACATCTAAATCTCCAATTTCTCACTTTAGGAAATAAATATTTGATTGTGCAGTGGATGCTCAAGAAATGAACTAATGAATGAAAGCAATAAAAGAGCTGTGTCATATGTCCAAGAGACATGGGGACATAATTTTCAAAAGTCTTGGTTGATTGATGATTGTATTCCATTATGTTTTTCAGACAACAGTGAGGAGTAAACCAATATTTAATAAGTGAAACCAAATATATGATGAAATTATGACATATATTATTCCATTTAATTCCTATAACAAGCCTTTTGAGAAGTCACTATGCCTGTTTTATAGATGAGAAAACCTGGAATTTGAGCAACTAAGGATTTTCTCTATATTACACAGCCGAATAGAGACCCAAATTCATTTGCTGTTAGTGCAGCTCTATGCTCTGGTATCCTCTGGGAAAGTAAATACTTACCTGATTCTGTGACTTCTGGCATTCCCTCTTTAGGGAAAAAATGAGTACAACAGAAAAAGTGGAAGAAACAAAGGACAGATTTTATTTCAGTAGCAGAAAATTCAATTCTATTTTCTGATATTTCTTACTAAAACAATAGACCCGTATACTCACATAGCAAAGAAACATAGTATTTACGAGCATTATAAATTGAAGTCTATTTTTGAAAATAGAACCTCTCTCCAAACTAATTTAAAATGTGAAACATAGTTGAATTAATCAGTTCTAAGTCCTTTGGTTGGTTTTCCTAATTACAAAATAAAAGTGATAAACCTATGTTATTTCAGCTTCAACTGGATTGTCATAGAAACATTCATGCATTGATCCACTGAATATTTATTAAAATGAATATCTATGAAGTGCTGTACTAAGTGTAATGGAAGTAGGGTGATGTGATGAGTTTGAAAAATACAACAAAAACAAACCCAAATCATAATAACTACATTCTGATGAGCAAAACAAGACAAAAATATTAGTCTTTAACCTAAGATACTGAACAACTAGCCTTTTTTGTTTCTTCATTGAATTACTCGAATAGTAACAGTTCTAAATATAAGGCAATTTATTAAATAAACATTTCCCTCACAAATTGATTCCATAATGTTCCATGAATAAAACTTTTCTGAAAGTTTAAGAACTATAGCTCTTACATATTCATGCTTTGTTGCAGGAGTTGCAGCAGAGAGGATTAAGCCACCACTGGCAATGCTGGCCTCATGTATCTGAGTGCTGGTTTGAGTCGCACCTGCTTCACAGCTTTCTGCTAATGTGCCTGGGAAGCCAGCAGAAGATGGCTCAAATGTTTGGGACCCTGACATTCATGTAGAAAACCAGGAGGGAATTCCTGACCTAGCCTGTGAACATTTGGGGAGTGAATCAGCAGATGGAAGATTCTCTCTTTCTCTCTCTCTCTGTCTCTCTCTCCCTCCCTCGTCCCCCTCTGCTCTATCTTGCTTGGCTCTACATATGTCACTCTGTTCTTCAAATAATTGAATAAATGGATAAATAAATAAAAAATCCTCTGAAAATTTACCAATATTTTCTATAAATCTGATACATTTATTCACCCATTGTTTATAACTTCTTTGGAGTTTTCTTCTAAATTCACAAAAAATCAATAAAATATTTTGTAATAATGAAAATAGGGAATAAATAATGTCTCATAACCCAAACACCATTTTCAAATTTCTTTATATTTCATGTAAACATTGTAATTCTGATTCCCAACCCTTAATTTTAGTACAGCTCTTTACATTAGTAGCTGTATTAAATACTCACTATACTAGAGGCTTTCTCCAACCAAAGGTAATTTATAATTTTTAATATTGGCATTGAATGTATTCAAAGGAAAATTATAGCTGCATTTTTAAAAGTTTCATAATATTATTAATAAATATGCTTAATGCTTGGCATTTAAAAACCTTAAATACAACTTTTATATACATTCTTAATTGAAATGCACATTTCTTTTTTTTGCAGAGTAAAGTCTAAGTTATATTTTAATAATATCAAATAAACAATTTCATTGTTCACTGTTGCACCTTTATTATTGTTTGAAACAAGTAACTGATTCTAAATTACTAAAAAAGGATTACTTCAGTGCCTTAAAGAAATAAAATAAAATGCAAGTGTATTAATGTTAAATAATGGGAAGCAGGGGCCAGCACTTAGGCACAGTAGGTTAATCCTCTGCCTGCGGCGTCAGCATCCCATATGGGTGTGAGTCCCGGCTGCTCCACTTCTAGTCCAGCTCTCTACTATGGCCTGGGAAAGCAGTAGAAGATGGCCCAAGTGCTTGGGCTCCTGCATCCACATGGTAGACCAGGAGAAGACACCTGGCTCCTGACTTTGGATTGGCGCAGCTCCAGACATTGCCGCCGTTTGGGGAGTGAACCTTCGGAAGGAAGACCTTAATCCCTGTCTCTCCCTCTCACTGTCTATAACTCTAACTCTCAAATAAAATAAATAATATCTTAAATAAATAATGGAAAGCAGTTTTGATATGCTCTGAATTCATGCTAGTCCACACAGTGACTATTAGAGAGATCTTCATACTTTGTTTATTCAATACATCCTAACAAACAACTGAAACATAATATAGAGATACAAATACTTTTTCCCCTCACAGCTATTAGTTATTATGATCAGTGCCTTAACTACATAGAAAATACAGAAGATATTTTAGGTTTTCCTTTGGCTAGGCTAGTACAATGTAGTATACCTCATAGGTGTTGAATAAATATGTTATCAAGGATTAATGAATGGAATTGTTAGTGAATAAAATCACATAAAGAAGTAAAAATATTAACAGCTATTATACCAATATCATATCATACTTTTAAAATGTTGCTTACAATTTAAATAAATTATAAATTCCAAAAAATTAATGATAATATTGTTGAAATTCTAAAAGTATAACTTACTTGAAGTAGATTTTGGTTTGTCTAAACAGCAGGAAAGAGGAAAAAGAAATTGAGTCGTAATTTTGCATCTGTATGCAAGATGTAAGCCCTTATATTTCCTACTTACATTTTTTGTAGTATAACAGGAATAAAGCTAAACTTACTTTAAAATCAGCAACGGAGAATGCATTTCAAGGAATTTTAAAAAATATATGGGGTCAAGCCGGCACTGTGGTATAGCAGGTTAGGCCACTGCCTGCAGTCCTGGCATCCCATATGGGCGCCGGTTCATGTCCCGACTGCTCCATTTCTGATCCAGCTCTCTGCTATGGCCTGGGAAAACAGCAGAAGATGGCCCAAGTCCTTGGGCCCCTGCACATGTGTGTGTGAGACCTAGAGGAATCTCCTGCATCCTGGCTTCTGATTGGCACAGCTCCAGCTACTGTGGCCATCTGGGGAGTGAACCAGTGGGTGGAAGACCTCTCTCTCTCTCTCTCTCTCTCTCTCTGCCTCTCTGTAACTCTGCCTTTCAAACAGATAAATAAATCTTTTTTTAATTTTTAATTTTAATTTTTGACAGGCAGAGTTAGGGAGAGAGAGTCAAAGAGAGAGTTATACAGTGAGAGAGAGAAAGAGAGACAGAGAGAAAGGTCTCCTTCCTGTTGGTTCACCCCCCAAATGGCCACTAAGGCTGTGCTGATCCAAAGCCAGGAGCCAGGTGCTTCCTCCTGGTCTCCCATGCGGGTGCAGGGCCCAAGCACTTGGGCCATCCTCCACTGCCTTCCCCGGCCACAGCAGAGAGCTGGAATGGAAGAGGAGCAACCGGGACAGAATCTGGCACCCCACCCGTGACTAGAACCTGGTGTGCTGGCACCGCAGGCAGAGGATTAGCCAAGTGAGCCGCGGCGCCAGCCTAGATAAATAAATCTTTTAAAAAAATTATTTATCTATTTGAAAGGCAGTGACACACAGGGAAAGAGAGAGACGTGGAAGAGAGAGAGAGTAAGAGAGAGAGAAAGAGAGAAGCTTTCATTTGCTGTTTAACTTTCCAAATAGCAACAACATCCAGGTCTGGGCCAGTCCAAAGCCAGGAGCCTGGAACTGCATGCTGGTCTTCCACATAGGTGGCAGAGGACCAAGTACTTAGGCCATTTTCTGCTGCTTTCCCAGTTGCATTAACAAGAAACTGTTTTAGAAGCAGAGCACTATATAGGAATCCAAATCTGGCCCTCTGTTATGGGATTACAAAATCACAAGTGGTGGCTTAAACAGCTGTGCCACACACCAGCCCCTTAGGTAATTTTTAAGGCATACTCCCAATGAATTATCCCAAATAACTGCTGGAAAAGTTAAAAGTGTAAAAATTTCTTGGTTTCTTTATCCCTGAGACAATACGACTTTTTTTTTTTTTTAATTGTTGATTTGTCTACTATTTGAGATGGAGAGAGGGAGAGAGAGTGTAACCATTTACTGGCTCACTCCCCAGATGTCTGCCACATCCAGGGCTTAGACTGAAACTGGGAGCTGCAAACTCAATCCAGGTCTCCCACAGGGGAGGAGGAACTCAACTACTTGAAGGATCATTGCTCCCTCTATGATTTGAAATAGCAGGAAGCTGGAATTAGGAGCCAGAGCTGAGTGTTGAATCCAGGCACTTGGATATGGAATGCAGCCTCTTATAAGTTGTGTTTTCAAGGTAATTTAAAATAACTGATTACCTACTATGTGTTATTAGATATTCTTGGAATGAGACCCAGTAGAATAAAGGAAGGTAACATATTTTTTCAGTTAGTCTCATATATGCTGTAGATTTGAATCATGTGATGTTTTTGATTCAGCAGTCCGATTACCAGGTATATATAAAAGGGAAATTAAATCCCTCTGTCAAAAAGAATCTGCATGCCCATGTTTACTGTTGCACTATTCACAACAGCCAAGAATTAGAAGCAACTCAAGTGTCTAACTATTGATGAATGGATAAGGAAAACACAGTATATTTACACAATGTGTCCTGTTAAGCCACTGTCATTCACAATATGGATGGAACTGGGTCATTATTTTAAGTGAAGCAAGTCAAGCACAGAAAAACAACTAGTGCAACATCTTATTCAAGTGTGACATCAAAAATGTCAATATGATAGAAATTAAGAGCATAATGGTGGTTACCAGAAGCTAGGGAGAGGGACACTTAGAGTAGGGGGAGAAGGAATAAGGAAAGGTTGATTAATGAGTACAAAATTATAATTAAGTAGAAATAAGAAGTTGTGTTCTTTTGCACAGCATGGTGACTATAGATAATGATACTGCACTGCATTTTTTTTTTTCTCTAACACACACAAAAAGACTAGAAATTTAAGATTTTGAGTGCTTTACCACAAGGAAATGTGAAATGTTTGAGGAGATAGATATGTTTGCCCTGAGTTAATATTACAAGATACCCATAACCATTAAAACATTATGAGGTACTCCACAAATATGTACAATTCTTTTGGGTCATTTTAAAAAATAGTTAAAACAGAACAGTATTGTAAAAGAATTGAACTATCTATAATAGGATCATATAACTTCTGTTTTAAGAATATAGATCAAGGTAAAATTCCTAATTTGTGAAATTTAACATGTATAATTTGAAGGGATATTTAAAAATATCAACAGTAAATCAACTTCATCATTATGATAAATGATATTAATATTGACTATAGTGAAATATTGAGTATTTTGGAAGGGCCTTATGAATAATGAAAGCAAATCTAATTTGCTAATTTTTCTTTATTATAGTAACATGTTTGCTGATTCATGTTTAATTGATAACAGTACCACAACCCTAATGTCAGACAAAGCAAATTGTACTACACAACCAAAAGTCTAGACATAACAGGAAGACAAAATGAAAAAGATTTGTATGTGTTGCTTTTATTTCTAGATTTCATAAAAATAGTGAATTAATATGGAATATAAAACAAAAAGGGTCAACATACCTGTTTTTATGGATGGAGGTTCTTTTTCTTGATGCTCAGCTTTTTCTAGAAAGAGAAATCAAAATTCACTAGCAATCTGTGGATTTTAATGCTCCAAAGTATTTCTTATTTATATATTTGCAGTTAATCTTCAATTTACGTAGAAGGCATGACCCAAAGTTAGTTTTGTGTCACTTAAACAAAGAAATCAAAATGCCTTAGAAACACATGAAAGCAAAGTTAGGTTCATTTTCAGGACATCCAGTAAAAGACTTCCTTCTGAATAAAGCTGTAAGACAGTACTGGAGTGTTAGCCATGTGTTAGTTCTTTCTGATGACCTCCAAGTTGGCTCTAAAGAACTGTTTTCGATGTTTACTTGTCCTTTCTTTACCTCACTCCTGAATTTAGAGATTTTCTAAAATAACTACTATTTTGCCTGAATATTATACACCAGCAGTGAAGTTGGTAGGAAGGTATGGGGCTCTGAGTGTCCTGAAACTAAATCGAGTATTTGTAAATTGTACAATGACAGCATTCAAGAATAAACTTCCATGAACTAAATTTGCATAAAGTTGATATTGAATAAGTCTTCAAATTACAAGAAAATTAAAAAGCCAATATTGTAGCTGTTAACCTGTCAAAACTGAGCTATAAAAGCATAATAAATATAGGTGAAAATAATTATATTAAAGATGGCATGGGGCTGGCGCTATTGCATAGCGGGTAAAGCTGCCGACTGCAGTGCCAACATCCCAAGTGGGCCCCGTTTGACTCCCGGCTGCTCCACTTCCAATCAAGCTCTCTGCTATGGCCTGGAAAAGCAGTAGAAGGTGGCTCAAATTCTTGGGCCCTTGCACCTGCGTGGGAGACCCAGAAGAAACTCCTGGCTCCTGGCTTCAGATCAGCGCAACTCTGGCTATTGCGGCCAATTGGGGAGTGAATCAGCAGATGGAAGACCTCTCTCTCTCTCTCTGCCTTTCCTTCTCTCTGTGTGTAACTCCGACTTTCAAATTAATAAATAAATCTTTCAAAAAATGATATGTCACAGGTTTTGAGTTGTGAATATGTTCTGGTTAACTTCCATATATTTGTACCACATCTCCTGAGCCACTTATCTGATCTCCACACTCATCTTCCAAGTTCGTCTTTAGAATTCAGCAATCCATTTTTCATAGAGAAGCCTGAATATATTTGACCAACAGACACTCATGTCTTTATCTAGGTTTGTGTTTCACATGTACATCTTTCATAACCAACATCTCAGTTTTGACATGACATCAGACACATTTACCACCTAGATTATAATGGGCAAATGTTCATGCTTTCATGAACCCAATAGTCGCCTTTAAACTCTTTACCACTATAATCTCTTCTTCACATCTGTACAGTGAAATAGATGATTTTTAACCTGTAAACTCATGAGGAAATTCCATTACTACTATAAAAGACACATGGCAAAATGTTTATGGTTTTATGTATTTCTAAATGCCAATATCTACCTATAGTATTATTAATACAACCTAGAGCAAGCAAATCAAAAATATGGTGCGTAACATTGACAGTTTTATATCATTTCATTTTTCTTTGTTATGTATTATGTATGTTTAAAAGATTTACAAACAATCTTCTTATAGATATTTTATAGTATATATATGCACATGTACATTTAATGTTAATAACTAATGCAACATCCAGAAATTTCATCTGTATAATTAAAATGAATCATGAGTTAGTAGTGAAAGACAATAATGTTAAATAAAAGCCATAGTAATAATATCAATTTATCACATATAGAAACAATTTGATCACAGGGCACATTAAAGAGAACACGTTAAAAAGCATGCAAATTTTTAAAGTTGAAATGGCTGTGTCCTGGTTTTTAATCTTCTCATCTCTTACTTGCTGGTTTTGGCTTGACTGTGGAGAGTTGAGGGAGATAGTATATTAATGAGCAAAACCATGGAAAAAACAATTCCTTATCACTTGTATTTATTTATTGTTAGTTTATTTTCTTAACATTTTTTCTCTGAACAGTACTATTTCACTGTCAACAAACATATTAATCATACTGTTGAGTGGTAAACTATTAAATGTGACAAGATATGTGAAAGCCACATAATATTTAAAACATACACATATATGGGACACAAATACATTCATGTACTTTCTTCATAATCCTCAGATATCCACACAACTGAAAGAAATACCCAAGGTATCTCTAATTCTTCATTCACTGAATGTTGCAAATTATAGCAATGCTTACTAAAATTATGAATTTATTTAACAATTTATATAGAATATATAGAATACAATAGTCATTTGAGGTGATGTGAAAATAACCACATGAGGGTTCTTTCTTTCTCATAAAATAATAGTTTATTCTGTTAAGAAATGATATTTAGAGACTGGCTACGTGACCTCATCAGTGGAAAAAATGCTTCACATGCTTTTTCTTTGGAATAATCTGATTTAGAGCTGACTTTTTTTAATGGCCAAGGTGGCTAGAATATTCAACTTGAACTGAATAGAAGCAATTCATTGTTTTGATATATCAATCAAGTTGAAGACTTAGGAATTTTCCCTCTTCTTCTATGAAAGACCATAGAATCACAAAAGAGTGTATCTCATTTTTATTTTCCTTCTTTGAAAGGAAATTATTCTAGTCAATTTATAAACGAATGACAGAAATCTTAAAAGTTTCATTATTTTGATATTGGAGGAAATGTAGTTTGAAAACAAGATATGAGAACTTGATAATAATGTTTATGAGTACTTGATAATCAATGCATTACATGAATTCCCTCACGAAACACAAGCTTGGATCATTCACACAGTTTAAAAAAAAGCTATACTATTCCAGTTTTTAAATTATTTTTAATAGTAAATTTACTGATTATAGTTATAGTTGTACAATTACAAAAATTCAGAATCCTAAAATGTATAGCACTAAATGGTTAAACACTTCAGTGAAAATATATGTATGTATGCACATACATAAAACTAACACACAGAAGAAAAACATGAAATACTTTACTTACCATGTTTTTCTGTTGTGACAGCTTTTACCTGCTTTAGAACTTTTTCTTCTGTGTTGGGAAGAAATGGTAACACAAGTAGAAATTTTGAATACGTAAGTACAAACTGGTGATCTATTTTAATCTTAATATTTTGTGTTCCTTTTGAAATAACACCAGTTATGAGAAAACCTTATCTATTTCCTCAATGAAACAGCAAATAATATTTTCTACTTAAATTGAATAGGAACAGCCCCCAAAAATGTGTTCAGTCAAAATGTCCTTTACATCTGTCTTGCTACAAGTTTTTGCTACTCTAAATTGTCCCTTAATTTTGATACAAAACTATCCTTGCCTTCACTTTAGTTTTCTTTATTCATTCACAGACATGTCAACTTATAAAATGTGTGTCCCTTTTCATTATTAAATTAGAAAAAAAGCAATTTTTTATCTGACCTGTGCAGATATTTCCTTCCTTATTTTCCGTACTCAGAATTAGCTGGGGAACACAAATACCCCATGGTACAAAGATGAAAGCGGGCAAATGTGGCAAATGTATGGGATGTCCTTTTCCCTCTATGGTGTTACACTGTTCAAGATTTGTTTTTAAGATTTATTGTTATTTGAAAGGCAGAGTCAAACAGAGAAAAAGGGAAAGATGGATCTTCAATCTGCTAGTTCACCCCTCAAATGATCACAATGGCTGGGGGTGGGCCATATTGAAGCCAGGAGCCAGGAATTCTTCCGGGTCTCCCACATGGGTGCAGGGATCCAAGCAATTGGGACATCTGCAGCTGCTTTCCCAGGCACATTTGCAGGTAGCTGGATTGGAAGTGGAGTGGTAGGATTTCAAAATGGCGCCCATATGGGATATTGGTGCTGCAGGCAGTGGCTTTACCAGCTAAGCCACAGTGTAGTTCCCAGTCCAAGAAATTTGAGTAAAAGCAAAGATATTATTATAGCCAGCGCCGTTGCTCAACAGGCTAATCCTCCGCCTTGTGGCGTTGACACACCGGGTTCTAGTCCCGGTTGGGGCGCCGGATTCTGTCCCGGTTGCCCCTCTTCCAGGACAGCTCTCTGCTGTGGCCAGGGAGTGCAGTGGAGGATGGCCCAAGTGCTTGGGCCCTGCACCCCATGGGAGACCAGGAGAAGCACCTGGCTCCTGGCTTCGGATCAGCGCGATGCGCCGGCCGCAGCACGCTGGCCGCGGCAGCCATTGGAGGGTGAACCAACGGCAAAGGAAGACCTTTCTCTCTGTTTCTCTCTCTCTCACTGTCCACTCTGCCTGTCAAAAAAAAATTATTATAATGACCCTGTATAAAGTTAAAACTTCCAAATATTCAGTATTTGGGATGAAATGGCTGGGCAAATACCCTTATTAGAAATTTTCATTGAGTAACAGAAATTAAAGAACATGGAAGATGTAACAGCAATAAAACGAAATAGTGGCTAAAAGACAGTGCATTTGACATATACTTAGAGACTAAATTCTTACTTCCTATAATTTACCTTAAAATGGCTATCATTTGGATACCAGAAAATATCTGAGCTTCATTATTGGTTTAAAGAAGTTCTAAATGTTTTTCTAATGCTTTGCTGATGTTAATACAGACAGCTATTCTCAGCTCCAGATACTCCAATCCTACTTTCAGTGTCCCTGTGTTTTCCAGTGTTGATGTCTCACATATATTATAGCACAGACAAAGTAAATCAAACTGACTCAAACCTATCACATACTTATTTCTAAACTATGAGATATTAAAAATGTAAGCAGAAGATGCTCTATCATTTATGTAAACAAAATGTATTTTAAGTTTTTACAAGATTCAATTAGCTTAAATTGAAAACATTTATATTGATAAATAAAAAAACAATAACCTGTTTTGTAAATTCTGTATCTTTTTTTACAAGCAAAATATACCAATTGATCTTTATTTTCTCCTAAATGTGTGAATGGAAATAAAAGGAAAAGAAAGGGAGGTAAGGATGGAGAAAAGAAAGTGGGAAGAAATGAATTAGTGTTGATTTTCTAAACATCCTTGGGTTTGGGGAAGTTTGAAATGATTACATTTGAATGAGTCGATCTGAATTGCGGTAAGCTTTCTGGAAATGTCTTATGATTATCGGAACAGAAGAAAGCAAAATGCACAGGCCTATCCATGGTCTTTGTAAAGCTATTTTATTGAAGAGCAGGATGACTAGCTGTCTAGTTACAGCTGACTGACTAAATTCTTAATGTACTCCTGAGGAGCACTTGTTTTCATACTTACTACTTGTTGAATTCTTTATTTAGTAGAGGGTTAAGCTTTGGAATATAAAGTAAATTGAAAGCATGTCATCACAAAAATTAAAAGAAAAATAAAAGAGTGAGGAGGGTGAATGGAGGTGAGAGTGGGGTGGGAAGTATAATTATGTTTTTAAAGCTGTATATATGAAATACATGAAATGTGTTCCCCTTCCATAAATAAATAATTTTAAAATATTGGGAAATGATTAAACTTGGGAGTGTTCCAGCAGCTGATGACTCAAGGCAGATTTGCCTCAAATAACTTTAGACTTGAATCTGAACCCTTCCTTCTGCTTCAACTAGAACACTGAGAGATGATTTGATTTTACAAATACCATCTAAAAATACCTGGTTTGCCATGCAAAGCAGTCTTTTCGGGTTTCATTATGTCTTGTTCTGAAAACAATACAAAAAAGTCTTTTCAGGGATACAGGAGCTTTATAAATTTATTAAATAGAAAATAAATACAAGATCTGAGCCAATATGCTCATGAGAGAAAATATGTCTATATTTTCAAGAGAGTCTATTTTATATGAAAAACAGAAATATTTTGGCTCATGAAAACAATACGTCAAGAAATCCAATTATGTTTAAATAACTGTAATTATGTTTAAATAACAGTAATGGCAAAAGCTTAGGCAATATAATATAAAGAATAAATATAACAGCTTAAATTTAAAATATAGAATTTTAAAAACATTCCTTATTTTTTCAGAAAAATGCATAGGAATGAAACATACATCTTGTGGTATGATTGTTGTTTATAGCCCTTGTTTATACTCCTGTGAAATTGTGATCTTCCTACTTTTTACTTGTTGAATATTATGGTTAGTGTTAAATTAAACCTGTGATCATAGAATGGACTGAAATTATGTCTTTGCAAAAATTAAAGAAAAAAATATCCAGTGTTGTAAAATCATATTAAGCAAAGGATTAGAAAAATGAGGAGGGGAATGGAGAGAAGGATAGGGAAGGTAGAGAAGTGTGGCTGTCTTCTCAGAACCGTACCGATGAAATACATGAAACTGGTTCTCTTTATGCTAACAAAAACCAATTTTTCTTATAAGTTTCTATGTAAGCATTATAGATAAAACTAATAAATATATGCTATCTATTTAAGCTTTTTCACACAAAACTAAATAGGTTAAATAAATTTTAAATTAAATTACTTGAAAAACCATAGTATTTAATTATAACGAATATGAAATTTAATTTCAAATGGTACCTATTTTTATATAGTACAGGGAGGGATTCTGGAATAAAAATCAGGGAAAATGTGAATTGCTTATATCTAGCAAAGTATAATTGACTGGACCAAATAGATATAAACAAGAAAATAAATAATATAATCATACATGGGTATATATGAACATTGTGTTGTTATAAACATATTATTTACAATAAAAACTAGAATTAAGCTCATAATCAATGGTTGGACCAGGTATGGTAAAAATTGAATGTATAAGATTATAACGCATATATACATGAATTTGGAATTTTGAAATTGTTAATATTGAAATATCTTTGTATGTTTTATAATGAAGAAATATCCTCCACAGAGCCTGATTTTTCTTTTTAACTTGCTTCAAGTCAATATTTCATTGGTACCGTAGCTAAAACTTAAACACTAAATAGCAATGTCAACTTGGAAAAGTCATTTTTCTTCTTTTTTTTTTTTAAGATCAATCATGTTTTTATAAAATGATAGAGTTAGTCTGGGACAATCCATGAAAGCTTTTAGGGTTTGGAGCAAATCAGATATGGGTGGAAATCTAAGCTCTAACATTTATTAGCCTGAAAATCTTGAAAAAGTAATTAGTTTTCTGAACTTCATCTATTTGGACTGCTTCTGCAGACATTGAATACGGATAATCATTACAACATTGTATCTTTTGCATAATGATACGGTAGAAGAAAAAATGTTCTGTTAATCTTTGACTCACAGTATACAATTAATAAATTCTTGTCCTTTCTTCCTTTTAAGCAAAAGCAGTCTATGGCTGTGTGAGCATATAACCCTGCTGCATTATTGAAACTAAAAGCACAAATTAAAATATGATGGTTTTTGAGTTTCAGAATTTCAAGAGCTATACCCTGAAACTCAGACTCTATGTTGAGGCTTATTTACAGTCATATTTTCAATGTGTGAGTATATGAGACATCCACACTCTCATCTAATCTGATGCTGTAAAATCACATTAAGCAATGGATTAGAAAAAAATAATGAGAAACTGGGAGATGCTGTGCAAATCCCCCTGGGTGGGATGTAAGCCCTTTTGTTCTAATATGAATGCAATATCAGCACTGAATCTATTTAAAAAGAAAACATTATCTGGTTCTGCTTCGTTGTTAACTCCTTATTCTGAGTGGAGAAAAACGGCAGAAAATTTAAAACAAGAAGTAATAAACGAGAGCAAGAAATAAATTTTGGAAATATTTTTTGTTTTAATTGTACTTGAAAAAAGAATAATTTTACTAAAAATGATGATTCCAGCTGCATGCTGGTTTTCAGTGTTGAACCATTAAACACACAGAGGTTAGAAAAATGCTATGCACTTGTCTTCAATTAAGTTGTTAATGCTGCTAAATGATTTAAACATAAATTGTCTACTTTTTCTCAAGATGATTGCTGTGTGAAATAGTTCCAAAATCAACATAAAATAAATAATTTGAACAGAAAGAGTTGGACAAGGTTGCTTGCAATAGATCTAATTGGGGCATTTATCTGATTTAGGAATTTAGGTAAATAGTATATATGTTTTGCATGTGTCCCCGAAAGGTATGTTGAGTCACCAACCCCTACTTCAGAATGTGATTCCATTTGGAAATAGGATCATTTTAGATATAAATGTCAAAGGAAAAATGAGGCTATCCTAGAGTATTGTGGGTCATTAGTTCAGTATGACTGATGCCCTTATAAGAAGACATAGAAAGGCACACAAGCAAAGGAAGAAGACAGCTGTGTTTATAATGGAGGCAAAGAATGAAAGGATGAATCTGCAATCCAAGGAACATTAGTGATTGTTAGAAAACACCAGAAGGAATCTTTTTTGCAGATATGAAAGGGAATGTGGCTCAAGCAATAACTTAATTTAGGATGTCCAACTTACAGAACTATGAAAAATAATTTATGTTGTTTTAAAGAAAGCAGTTTGAGTATTTTATTATACCTATTCAAGGAACTTAAAAGATTTGGTGTAAGGAAGATGGATGTAACTGTAACAATAGCATATAGATATGACACTGGTTCTGGAGTTCAGTAATGGGTAGCTGTTGGAAGAGTCCTAGGTACTTCATACTTTGAAGAGACTACTGAATGAAGCATTAAAGATGATTCTGCCAAGGACTTAGAAAAAAAAACGAGAAGAACTATAAGGTTTCTGTCAGAATACATATATTCTATATATTATCTAACACATTTTGTAATTCTTCTTAGCATATTTATTAATTGGAAAGGCAGAGTGACAGAGAGAGGGAGAGAGGCAGGGAGGGAGGGAGGGAGGGAGGGAGAGGGAGAGAGAGAGAGAGAGAGAGAGAGAGAGAGAGAGTTTGTTCTTCCATCTGCTGGTTCACTCCCTAAATGTCCCAAAATGACTACAACAGCTGTAGCTGGGACAGCTCCAAAGCCAGGCTCTGAAGCCAGGAGCTTACAATCCCATCCGGGTCTCCCATGTGGGGGGCACGAGCCCTGCACTTGTGTCATCTTTTGCTGCTTTTTCAGGCATCTTAGCAGGGAGTTGGATCAGAACCAGGGTAGCAGGGACTTAAATCAGCACTCTAGTATGGCATACAAGTTTCAGTGACTTAACATACAATGCCACAATACAGGCCTCCTTATTATAATTCTTATTTTATACACACACACGCACACACATACACATGTTTTTGTATTGGTTCTTTTATGTTGCTATCAAAATATGAGAAACTGTACAGACAGAAATTTATTTCTCACAGTTCTGAAAATCAGCATAGTCCATGACAAGATCAAGGAACCAGCAAGTTCAGTTTCTGCTTCCAAGACGCCACCTTATTGCTGAGCTCTACACAGGGGAGGTGTGTTGTGTTCTCATACCTCAAAAGGTGGAAGGCTTGGAGAACAGGCTAACTTAACACAGTGCAAAGTTTCTTTTATGAGGGCATTAATCCCATTCACAAAGAAGAGCCATCATGGCCTAGTTACCTCTTAAAGGCTCACCTCTTAATATTACGTTATCAACACATGAATTTTAAGGGAAGGCAAACTCCAGCAATTTATGTGCACACTGTGGCACCAGGTTACAACATTTCTGTCAATGATAGTCCATGTATATATATTGATGGTTCCCTAAGATTATATCACCTAGTGATGTTGCAGTTATCTTAGCTTATGTAAGCCCATTATATGAAAACATCCAGTGATCTATTTTTCAGAATATATTCCCTTCTTTGAGCAATATACAGCTACATATGTAAAGAATATTGCTAGAAATAGAAATGTTAAAATTGCTTCTTATGGGATTTTGGGACATGTTATTGGACAGTAGAGGAAAGGAGATATTTATTATAACGTGGAAAGTACTTGACTGAATTGTATTCTGTTCTCCAGTAGAAGAATGAATTTGTAAATGAACGACTTGGATAGTTAGCTGAAAAACTTCCCAAGAAAAATAAAGTATGCATACTGAATTTCTCCTGTTGTGTATAGTAAAATAGGAGAAAATTAGGTGAAGAAGGGATTCGTAAGCAAAAAGGTAGTGATATCTGGTAACTTGGAAAACATTCAGTCTACTTAGATATCATGCCCTGGAAACACGAACAACATTGCTGAAAAAGCTTTTACTAATAATACTAGATATGTGACTCACGGCTTTAATCAGTCATATTAGTGAAAGATAGGAACACAAAGGTAATTACCCAGGAAAGATGGGTCAAAGGAACTCTTTATAAATAAATTGGACCACTATGAATTTAACTGGAGACCAGTAGTGGAATTTTTTCCTCTCTTTTTTATTATTAGTTGTATTTTGTGAATTTTATATAAACAAAAACCATGCCAACCTGGATAAAAAGGCACAGACACAGAAGGAATAATTATTCAAAGGATAGAGCTATGAATTAAAAATCTGAGATTCTGATATTTACTTCAGTAGTGAGAAAAAGGCTGAGACACTAGTGAACTAAAGTTGGGCCAATACTCCACCAGGCACAGAGGGCAGAGTATTGACCAGAAACATTATCTGTGGGCCTTGAAATTTGCTAGATTTCAGACTTTCTTGGGGCCCATGACTCTTTTAATTTTTCCTTCTAATGTATCTCTTTCGGAATGGCAATATCTTTCCTATTCCTATCACATCATTTGATTTGGATGTAGATAGCTCATTTATTGTTTCACAGGTTCACAGATGTAAAGTATCTATGCTGCATGAAAAGTCATACCCCCAGACTCATCCATAACTAATGCAGATGACTTAGGTGGGATTTATGATTTTTTTCCATGATGACATTTAATTTTAGTATATGTGCTACCGAAGCAAACACAGGTGATGACATTTACAAGAAATTTTGGAATTAGGTTTGGCATGTGAGTAGTTAACTCTTATAGAAATAACAGAATGTGAAGGATATACATTTTGGGGTGACAAGACAATAGACTGGCATGGATTTATTTACAATTCTTCAAAAGACACACTAGCATCTTCATCTCCAGTAGTTCAGAATGTGAGCTTCTTTGGCAATAGGATCACTGTGCATGTATTTAGTTAAGCAGTGGTCACAGGGGAGTAGGTTGAGTCCTTAACCCAATATGACTTCTGTGCTTATGAAAAGAGGAGAAAAATACAGAAATAGCGACATAAAGGGAGAAGATATGCAAAGGTGATACAGGTGGAGGTTGAAGTAATGCACATACAAGCCCAGGCACATCAAGAATTTCTGGGAAACACCAAAAGCCATAAAAGACATGGAATTATTCTTCCCTGCAGACTTCAAGCTACATTCTGCAACTGACACCTTGATTTTGGACTTGTAGGCTCCTCCTACTATGGGAGAAAACATTTATAATGCACTAAGCCACCCAGTTTTTGGTATTTTATTACAGCAGCCCTTCAAAAGTAATACAATTAGAAAATCTAACTAAAATTTTAGTTGTTTTGAGAATATTATTTTGTGTTCTTTTGTATAAGATTCTGTTACCTCTTGCAGTCCTTAGAAAAGTTTATTTGACTCAGAATCTCAAAAATCAGAAAGATAATATAATGTGCCCTAAAATAATCAGGAAAAATGTGTTTTTTATGAGTCAATTTATTTAGTCAATATATATATTTTTCAGATATTTCATCTATATAAATATGTGTTTTTCTAGGAATAGGCAACATAGGTAAATAATGCATAGTGTTTTAGAGTAGGCCAAGGATAACATAGTGTTTCAAAGTAGGTCAAGAGTATATTCAGATAATATTTGCAAGAGGACGTAAAATTTGTAAAGAAATATTATACTATTCCATTTATTCGATGCATACATGCATATGTAGATAAAATATACATACCCGGTTTCTCTTCTTTTTTGATTTGTGGCTCTAAAAATATAAAATAACATTGGTAACAATGATTACAGAAAGACAAGAGTATTTCCTGGATTCATGCATATCTATTTTATGTATGTTATTATTTATAATATGTCAAATTATGTTTTATGATTGTGGTAAAGTAAGATAATAAATAATTATCTACCATTATCAAACAGAATGAAATTTATTTTCAGAATAAAATATAAACGTGAGGTAATATTTTCATTGACAAGGCAAGGAAAGCAATTAGATTATACTACCATGGATAAAGAATCGAGGACAACATCAGCATCAACGATTTCAAAAAATACAATTAAGTTAAACTGCACATTATCTAAGACAAACATTTAAGCTTGAATTTAGGAAAAATATTCCAAACAAATCAGAAGATAAGTAAAAATATGCAGTTTAAAGTTTGTTTTATTAATTTATTTGGCATGCATATTACATACGTGGAGGTTTAGGTTTGACTTCTTTGCCTAGAGAAAAGTGAAATATTGTTAAATGAAATATTGTTAAAGAGTGAGTCATACAATGCTAATTGAATTGACATTATTAACATCTTATATTTGGAAATCAGAATAAAGAAATACAAAACCAGATTATTCTTTACTGAAATTCCACAACACTTTTAAGTTTACAGATATAGATACAGATGCAGATATAGACATAGATATGGATATGGACAAGTAACTATTTTATGTCATTTATTAGTAGGCATTTGAAGCATTAGTTAAGAAACTGCCTGAAATGCCTAAATTCCTTATCAGACTGGCTAGGTTCAGAAGTGGTCCCTGCTTGACTTCCAGTTCAGCTTCCTGCTATTGCACAGCCTGGGAAGAAGCCAGTAATGGCTCAAGGAGCAGAGTTTCTGCCTCCCACATGGGAAACCAGGTTGAATTCCTGGTTGTTCTGGGCATTTCTGGAGTAAAGCAATGCATAAAAGATTCTCTCTCTCTCTTGCTCTCCCCCCCCTTCTCTGTCACTATGACTTTAAGTAAATACATGTAAAAAAGGAGATACTCCATTGAAATAATTTTAAATAATAAAACTGTTAGCTTAATTTTATTGCTCCTTTAATAACATTATTTTTCTAACAATCTCTTGCATGTAATGTTAACCTTTTTTTCTTAATACTCATTTTGATAACTTACTTTTAACTCTTCATTACTCAAAAATGAACAATTCAAGACTATTGTTTTCATGTCCATTAAAATTAGCAATGTATTATCTGTCTCAGTATAATATATTAAAATGATAGCTGATGCACTTAGAGTTCTTGATGACTGGGAACACGTGTTCATTGTACACATGGAAGGATAAAATAATTTTGATTCTATACAGTGATCTATGGAGGAACAACTATGTTTCTTCTCTGAAATCTAATATATTTATCAAAATAATCTCTGAGAAATGATCACAAAACATATAAAAACACAACATGCCAATTGTGTGCAAATGTGAGTATATTGTGCTCTTGAAGAAAAGACACCAAATTACATGTCTACATCCCATTCTGGAGTGCCTGTGTTAGAATTCTTCTGCTTATGATTCCAGCTTCCTGAAATGCAGCATTTTTGTTCTTATACTCAGTTATAAAACCAGGTTGGAATTAGCATGAGACTATTTCTAAAAATCCATATCAAATGGAATTAAAAGGTAAATTTGAGTAAAACAAAATTAAAAAATGTGCATATGTTTTTCACAGCACACATTTTCCATGAATGTTTGAAAACTTCTTGTGTATGAAATTTCGAAGATTCAAAATCTATAAAGATGGCCTTATTTTCAAACAGGCTCTTTGCAGACAAAATCAAGCTAAGGTAGAAAATGAGGGAGGCCTAGTCCAATATAGAAGAGGAATGGGACACAGAGATGAGAAAAAACACATGGAGAATGCCATGTAGAAGCAAAGTCAGAGATTAGAATGTTGCCTCATCAATCCAAGGAACACCAAAGGTTGCCATAATACCCAAATCTAAGAGGAAGACTTGGAACAGATTCTCGCCTAGAGTCTTCAGATAGCATGGTCCCACCAACATTGTGATTTTTAGACTTACAACTTCCATAACTGCAAAAGAATGTGTTTCTGATGTTTTAACCTGCCCAATTTGTGGTGCTTATCACAGCCACAGGAAACTGACACGCTATGACAGCACTTTAATCAATCTACCAGTTCCTTGCATCACAATTTCTTTCTTTTTTTTTTTTTTTTTTTTTTTTTTTTGACAGGCAGAGTGGACAGTGAGAGAGAGACAGAGAGAAAGGTCTTCCTTTTGCCATTGGTGCACCCTCCAATGGCCGCCGCGGCCGACGCACTGCCGGCGCACCGCACTGATCCGAAGGCAGGAGCCAGGTGCTTCTCCTGGTCTCCCATGGGGTGCAGGGCCCAAGCACTTGGGCCAGCCTCCACTGCACTCCCTGGCCACAGCAGAGAGCTGGCCTGGAAGGGGAGCAACCGGGACAGAATCCGGCGCCCCGACCAGGACTAGAACCCGGTGTGCCAGCGCCGCTAGGTGGAGGATTAGCCTATTGAGCCGCGGTGCCGGCCCTGCATCACAATTTCTAAGATCATACCAACTGGTCATGAAGACAAAGACTATCTCCCATCACTTTTCTTTCATCTCTGTAGACAGAGGTTATCTAAAAAGCACATCCTGCCATTTCACATATCACATCTCTTTCTTAAGCATATCCTCCATTGTTAACTCCAGTTATCGCTACCTGCTCTATTAAGGAGTCCATCAGCCTCTTCTCACTATTAACCATTTTGAAAAGCCAGACTGATGTATTCTAATAACCAAATTATGTTTCTTTTGCTTCTGTACTGATATATATGTTGATCTATCTGTCTAGAACATCCTTTTTTTTTTCATTAAATTGTGTTTAATACTCAACCATCACACACACACACACACACACACAAGCACAAAGCTGTTTTAAGCTGTTTTAAGTATCTTTCTTTCAACTGTTCAGTCTGAGTTAACTGTACCTTTCATATTCCAATAGTATTCTTAAATTACCTTTATTTTAGTGCTAATTATTATCTCAAATATCCTATTAACTTTCATATAACCAAGAACAGGAATTGTTTCAAAAATTAGCATGATTCCTGGCATGTTGGAATTATCAACAAATAAACATTGAATAAATTAAAAAAGAATCTATCATGCAAAGTTTTCTGAGATAAGGCCATAAGATCCTTGCTGCTGATAGGTCAGAGATTTTTCTAAGGAGAATCCATTGTTCTGCTCCAATTCATGGGTGAGTTAATAACTGAGGCCTCAAATACACACACACACACACACACACACATATATATGTATTAGAAATGTCATATATACATATATATTACAATAATACTTTAAAATTAAAACAAGCGGGGGGCTGGCGCAATGGCCCAGTAGGTTAATCCTCTGTTTGCGGCACCGGCATCCCATAAGGGCTCCAGTTCTAGCCCGGGCTGCTCCTCTTCCAACCCAGCTCTCTGCTGTGGCCTGGGAAAGCAGTAGTCCTTAGGCCCCTGCACCCACATGGGAGACCAGGAAGAAGAACCTAGCTCCTTGCTTTGGATTGGCACAGCTTGGCCATTGCGGCCATTTGGGGAATGAACCAATGGATGGAAGACCTATCTTTCTTTCTGTCTCTCCCTCTCACTGTTTGTAACTCTCTCTCTCAAATAAATAGATCTTTTAAAATCTTTAAAAAAAAAGTGTAAGTAAATACAACAGATGTTCTGTCCAAAAATAAACAGATATTCTAACCTTGAGTGGCAATCTTGCTGAAAATCTCTTTCAGATGAGCCTGTTACTTTTAAATTATTGAGTTGGTTACAGAAAGACCAGTTTACAATAATCCTATTAAATGCTGAATGCCGAATTGTACTTGGAATAATAAATTTTAAATCATTCCTACAACAATTAGCTACCAGTTCTAATTACCTCTCATATTCAATTCTAGTTCATTACATTGGAACTATGCCATCTTAATTAGAAACATACATTTTTCTGTTTCCTACAATGAGACCAAGTATGCATCACTTAATTGATACTCAAAGAATAGCAATTAACTAATTTACAGGGAAAAATAAAAACAAAGAAAAAGAATGATAAGCATCCACATTTTATACCACGAGCCATTTTGTTTACTGATGTACATAATAAATTAATTGAGATGATAATAAATTACTTGGTATAGTAATCAATTATTATACAGTCTGCTATTAATCACCTACATTATGACTTTCAAAGTAATATTAATCTTCAAATTTTGTGTGTCTATAAATAGTCAGAGATCTATATTGCAGTTAGGTCTATGTGGTTTGGCTTATTAACCATTATATTACTAAAATTGTTAAAATGAGTAATGCCAATAAAGACTTTTTAATAATCTGCTTCATACAAAATGTCTTTTTAGATTATTAACTGTTTAATAAACAGTGAATAATTTATTTTAATAATATTTCTGATTCACATATCCATATATAATGCATATGTAGATAAAATATACATACCTGGTTTCTCTTCTTTTTTGATTTGTGGCTCTAAAAATATAAAATAACATTGATAACAATGATTATTTTAATGATATTTCTGATTCACATATCCATATATAATTTTAACATTAAAATATTTGTTAAATTACTCAATTCATTGTTTTAAAGATTTATTTATTTATTGAAAGTCAGAGTTACACATAGAGAGGATATGCAGAGAGAGAGAGAGAGAGAGAGAGGTCCTCCATCCAATGGTTCACTCCCCAATTGGCCGCAATGGCCGGAGCTGCACTGATCCGATGCCAGGAGCCAGGAGCTTCTTCTGGGTCACCCATGCGTGTGCAGGGGCCCAAGGATTTGGAACATCTTGTACTGCTTTCCCAGGCCATAGCAGAGAGCTGGATCAGAAGTGGAGCAGCCGCGTCTTGAATCCGTGCCCATATAGGATGCTGGCACTTCAGGCCAGGGCGTTAACTCACTGCACCACAGCACTGGCCCCAAATTACTCTTAATTCATTTATGAAATAATTTTGTGTGCTATAATCTCAAGCTTTTTAATCATGTCTATAATATGACTGATATATATGTGTATATATATATATATATCAAAAACCATTAAAGCCTACTCATTATGGTATTGCTTAGAATTTGAGTTTTAAAAGTGAGAAAAGTAAAATTTCCAATTACATGTATAAATTGTTCTTCTATGACTTTACTCACCAATGTCATCATTTGGTTAATTACATCACAGAAATGGCCTCATTACTGATTTAATGAGCAAATCAACTCCCTGTACCCCTAAGAATTACCATAATTTATTTTTGTGAAGATAATTTAGATGATTATTATCCAATTTAAATTTTCCAAAATCCATAATTGTAACATTATTTCAGGCATATAATACATATGAATACATTCATTGGAGAATTTGTATTAGATAATATAACAGAAATATCATCAAACAGGCCCAGTAGGACCTTACAATGTTTTTTTATTTAAAACCTTGCAAATTTACAACACATAATGAATTAATTTTAATGGAAGGATCCTATAAGTGATCTGAAATAGCTTTCTTGTTTTTCAAACTAAAAATTGAAGTTCATAAACCATACAGAGTGTCTGTGTGTGTATGTGTGCACACATGCATTCACTATGTGGGCCTGTGTTTTCCCATTCAGAAATCCATGGCAGTCTAAGTCTCATTTCAGTGGTCTTCAAAGGTCTCCTGGTCACAGAAATGCAGGTTCTTGCTTTGGAGGTGGAAATATGCAATTTAACAGCTTTTTCAGGTGAGTAACATTATGTGTCCAAACTATTGCTCTAGAAGGATAGAAATCAACATTCAATATGATACAAATCAGATAAGGTTAGGATTTTTTTAGTGATTTTTTTATAATCAATGGATAAAACCTGTAGAAAGAGGAGAACCAAGAGGTCCTAATAATGAAATCTTGCCTATAAAATCTAAATATCCCTTAGTTCATTTAAATTACAGTTTAATGATCTTACTCATTCAGTTGAAAAATGTATTGAACCAGTGTAGATTCTGTGGTAACCTCACAGGAAACACACATATAGAAATATGGATGATTACAGTGCCTGTGTATGTCTGCCTGTACATGCTCTGAGCCTTCATATTTCCTAAGGTCCATGTTTAGGCAGCACTAGTAAGGACAAGTCGGAGGAAAAATCCATAAAGTAGTGGCTCCAGAACAGCATCACCTGGGTTCTTACCATATAAATATAACTTTCCAGGTGTTCTTAATACATGCTGAAGTTTGAAAACCACAGTATGGTAGCAATGTTTGCAATTATTGCTAGCATGTGTTTAACATAAAGACATAGTTATGTTGCAACATTCCAAAGCCCAGAGAATTTTACGTAGCATATTTTAGCAAATAGGCTTAATTACAGGGAAAAAGCTTTCAATGTACATAGACTAAAAAAAATAAAGTTAAAAGCAGCCTACTTGTGTTGATTATGTTCAGTCTGAATGATAGTAACATTCTATTGACATTTGTGATTGAGATCTGTAAAGGATGTGATATAAAATCAGATTCATATAATCCAAGAGTTATTTATTTTATGAGGGAAAGCAAACTGTAATTTTGATACATTGGTATTCTTATGGAAATAGGAATTGGCTGAAAGTGAAATATAAAAGGTACATTGACATATATATATATACATATATATAAATAATAAAACCATTACTATATGTGATATAATATATGTAATATAAAACATTGGGGCCAGCATGTGGCCTAGTAGGTAGAGCTGCTGCTGCTTCACTTCTGATCCAGATCCCTGCTGGATGCCTGGGAAAAGCAAAGGAAGATGGCACGAGTGTTTGGGCCCCTGCCACACACTTGGGAGACCTTAATGAAGCTCCTGGATCCTGGTTTTGGACTGGCTCAGCCCTGAATGTTGTTGCCACGTGGGGGATGAACCAATAGATGGAAAATCTCTCTCAGTGTCTCTCCTTCTCTCTGTGTAACTCTGACCTTTGAATAAGTAAATAAGTAAATCTTTACAAAAACATTTAATTATGGCTATTTTAGCTTTTTAAATTATATTTTATATTTTCTCTATTTTCCATGTTAATTTCTTTGTAATAAAATAACATATAAATGTACTATTTCCCATTTGTAGCTCTGTTTTTTCATAAACTTTTAAAATAAAAAAGATCTGGGGCTTGGGGCTGGGGTTGTGGCACAGTGGGTTAAAGCCACATGCAATGCCAGCATCCCATCTGGGAGCACATTCAAGGCTGCACTGTTTCATTTGCACTTGCACTTGCTCATGTGCCTGGGAAAGCAGCAGAGCATTCCCCAAATGATTGGGCCCTGAACCCACGTGGGAGATCAAGAAGATCCTGGATCCTGACTTTGGCCTGGCCCAGATCCGGTCTTTGTGGCCATTTGGGGACTAAACCAGCAGATGGAAGATTCTCTCTCACTCTTGCTCTCTGTGTCTCCTTCTCTCCCTGCAATTCTGCCTTTCAAATAAATAAACCTTTGAAAACATAAATAAAAATAAAGCCAAAAATGGAAATGGATTTTTATTTGATATCATATGCAATATCAACTGAAAATGAATGAAAGGTTTAAATATAAAAACAAAAACCAAAAATTTACTAAAAGTGAACATGGAGGACATGGATGATATCAGTCTGGGTAATGATTTCTTAGATAGAACTTCAAAAGATCAAGCCATAAAAGCAAAAATATAGAAACGGGATTTCATCAAGCTAAAAAGCTTATAAACTTAAAAAAGAAAAAAAAGCTAACAGAGTGAGGATACGATCTATGGGTTTGGAGATAATATTTGTAAACCATATATCTGCTAAATGGCTATTATCCAAAATAAATAAGGAACTCAGAAATTCAACAGCAAGAAAACAAATAAACTGATTAAAAAGTGAGCAATGGAGCTTAACAGATATTTCTCAAAGAAGAGTTGTGAATGATCACTAGATACATTTTTAAATACTCAAAATCTATGATCATCTCAGAAATGCAAATCAACACTACAATGAGACATCATGTTACACCTATTATAACTATTAAAAGAAAAACAACTGATAACAAGTGTTGTTGAGAATGTGAAGAAAAGAGAACCCTTATGCATTTTTGATGAGTTTGTAAAATAGTATCTTTATTTTAGAAAATAATATGGTGGTTCCTCAAGAAATAAATTACCAAAGGATCCAATATGTCAAAAATCTATCTGCATTACCAATTTCATTTCTGCAGTATTCACAATAGTCAAGATGTAGAAACAGACTTTGTCAATTAACAGATATATTGAATAAAAAAGATGGTCTAAAGAACACGTCCAAACTCACTGTTGGAGGTCAGTATTTTTCTTAGTTCTAAGACCAAACAAGGGTAAAACAACGAAAAACAGAGAATTTCAGAGCAATCTGTCTGAAGAATAAAGGTGCAAGAAGTCCTTATCAGATTACTAGCAAACAAATCCAATGACATATCAAAAAGATCATCCATTCTAATCAAAAGGGATTTATCCTAAGGATGCAGGAATGTTTCAACATGCACAAATCAGTAAACATGATATATCACAACAAACCTATAATGGATAAAAAGGTACTATTATCTCAATACATACAGAAAAAAGTATGTAGTAAATGACAATATTCTTTCAAGATAAAAACAATTTGAAAAATTGGGTTATAGAAGGAACTTATGTCAATACACTGATGGATATATTAAATGAGTACAAAGAGAACATCATATTGAATGGAGAACCAGAAAAGATATCCAATTCCACCACTTTCATTAAATATAATTCTTTTAGTTGTAGCCACATCATGTAGGCAAGCAAAAGAAATAAAAGACATACACATCTAAAAGAAGGAAATGAAGTTATTTCTGTTTTCTGATAACATGATTCTCTATATGGCAGAAACAAAAGACTCCAGTAAGAGACTATCAGAACTAAGAAGAAAATTCAGCAAATCTGCATGACAAAAAATCAACAAAATTCAGTAGCATTATTATACATCAGCTGCTCTTGCTGAGAAAGAACTTATAAGAGCAACACAATTCACAATAACCACAAAATAACCTTGAGATAAATTTAATCAAGGATGTAAAATCTACAATATGAATTACAAAACACTAATGAAAGAAATAGAAGACGACACCATAAATGAGAAAAATAAAACCTTCCATTTTCAGTGATTGAAAGAAGTATTATTATAAAAAGTCCAAAATACCCAAAGCAATGTATAAATTCTATTCAATTTCAATCAAAATTACAATCTTCAAAGACATAGTAAAGGAAATCCTAAAATTCACATAGAAACATAAAGTACCCTAAATAGCTAAAAAAAAAAAAAATGTTGTGCAACAAAACAATGCCAGAGGCATCACAAACTTGAAGATATACTACAGGACTATTTAAACCAAAACAGCATGATACTGGTATAAAAATAAACACATGGATCAATGGAACAAATAGAAACTCCAAGAATAAATCCACACATCTTTAACCAACTTATCTTTGACAAATATGCTCAAAATGCA